ACTCAAGTTGCAACCAGAGTCACGGAACGGATTAAGTTCGTAACTAGAGGTACCACTGTATCTCAAATTCTTATGCAGATGTCATACAGGGAGTGAGTCAAGGCCAACTGTGTTTTCTTGAGAACAGTCTGTTGCCAGAAGAAGATGTTACAGAAAAGAAATGCAACAAAGTCTACCCAAGAACAACATGAACGAGAATCTGAATAAGAATTTATCATCAGATATAAAGACAAGATTGGATGAAGCTTTAAAAATTAAGAAGGAAATAAAAACGACAATCCCAGAGAACAATTGGAACAATTTCTTTTTGTTGGACTTACAAAAGAGGCTGTAAAAAATATTGAAGAAGTTCAAAATAAGGATCAACAATCATCTTAATAGATTAAAGAGCAAGATCATTTTGCCTAAAAAGAAGGAATACAAAGTTGATATATCTGACCAGGGCTAAAATGGGACATGTTGCTACTTTGGGTGGTTCTTTTTGGATTTGCTGATATCTGGACTGGAAAAAAGATGTGCATTGGATTAACTTACATTTCACATGGTGTATAAGCTTTTTCCTCTATAGTTACTTTATGTATCCTAACTTAACAGCATATTTAAACTGGCTTTATATTTAATTGTTTTTTTATACCCCTCTTTGTTATGTTAAATTTTAGTCTTTTGTTTATATTAAGATATTGAGATTACTTTATATTGCTAAACGTGGATTTGTTTATAATCAAGAATTGAGGTATGGAATGTTTATTTGAATGGGATATGTTGTTATTTCTCTTTGGAATTGTTGGCATTTGGAATGGAAAAAAACATTGTGGAGTTTTATATATGTTAATTAATGTTATTATTTTAGGGCTCTGTTTGGACTTCTTGCTGACACCTGAATTGGAGAAGATGTTATTTATTGGATTTGCCTATAGTTAGGAGATGAGTTATGTTTTTATATCTGTTAATTGAGAGGAGGTAAAGAGATCATGAAATTGTTTATATTGCCATGAGGAATGTGGGAATTTGCTGTCTTAGGGTTGTTGTGGTTGTTTGGCTTTTTTGCACCTTTGTTTTTTCTTCTTTAGTTTGTATTATCTTTTACTGTTGTAGTTAAAACTTTTAATAAAAAATTATTATACAAAAAAAGGCCAGTTGCATGCTTCTCTCCTTCCCTTTCGTACTACACACCACTGTTTCTCCAAATCAGTTCTCAGTAGCTTCTTATTCACTCTAAAGTCTCTTCAGAAAAATAATTAGCTGCTTTGACCATACTTATTAATCTTACAATAAATAAAACTAATTTACAAAATCTTTAAAATCTTAGTTTATACTAAATGTAAAAGGAAACTAAGTATTTCTTAAATTGTTTTCATATGCAGAGGTACAGAATAAAACCTTTAAAAAAAGCTTGTCAAACAATAGAAGCCAAAAGGTACCTTGAGCAGCTATAAATTTATTCTTTTCCTTGTAGCCCTGTGAGAAAATAAAGAGATGTGTTTTATTTTTACAAGAATACACATTAAAAGATGCTTTTTAAAACAGTATGTAGTTACTTTTGAAAAATGAGTAATTGAATAAGAAAAAGATTTCACTTACATCTATATACGAAGCATTAATATAGTCCGAACACTGAATTCCATCTATCTGCGTTAAAATTACTCTGGAATGATCATCTGTAAAAATGAACACTCAGAACTGTTTATATCTAACATGGATGAAATGTGGATAAAGCTCTAAATGTGTACTTTTCTTCTGAAAATAAAAGCTAATCTAAAAAGTCACTTAATACAACACTGTATGATTATTTATAAATATTATAGCTTCTGTACTGACTAACACCATGCACTCATCCTACTAAAATAATAATTTTTTTTCAAGCATAAGTTTGGCAATATATCATGAATATAAATGCAAAATCTTAGAAGATAAAAAAGAATGATTAATAGCAACATGAGATTTCATGAATTAGAATCCACTGGGTCCTGTGTTGTGCTAATTTCACAGGCTACCAGTTCAATGGTGGCATTAATTTTACCATTATAAATGGCCATAGAACATGTAATTTAGGGGCAACTTCTTTACAAATAAATCTATGATGCTCTTTTTCCTGATAATGGCTCCAAGATTAGGAACATAATAAGGTTCTGATGTCCCCAAGCAACACTCCACTGTTGTTCTCCTAGAATTAATTATTAGACATCAGAATTAGTAACTGTTCCTTGTGAATTTATCTAATCCCCATGAATGATGTGCGAGCTCATGTCCTTGAGATAGAAGGAAAATATGTGGCATGAAAAGCTCCTGCTGCCGTAGTATTCCTTTTGATGCTCCATTGAAATGAGGCCAGCAACACTGGTATCCTCACATAGTAGGTGGTAGGGATTATAACCTAGAAACTCAAGTGAGGACAGAGGATGGTGTGAGGACTGGAAGTGGGACCCTCAGTGCTGGGGAAACTACATCCTTCAGACTCAATTACCAATCTATGGAACCTAGGCTGAATCATTGCAGCAGCTGTTGCTACCCCTTCCCTGCTCCATGGCCCCCACATGGCCATTCTAGCTGGGCATGGCTTCTAGTGCAGTCAAAAACAACACTTGGTCAATTTGGTCACTACTGCAGCTGCTTTGGAATCTAAAGAACTGAAGAATCATTTTTCTTAAATACTTCTAGCAGAATCTTGTCACCATCTCAGATAGTATCATCTGGTAAAACACTCCCATAAGGGAGACAAATAAAGATAAAGCAGCTTTTAATTTGTCCCCAAATTAATATAATTAATTACATTGAAATTAATTTAAATAAATTTGTCCCCTTCTTCCACTGGAAGACTTCCAGGCTGGCTTACAAATACTTATTTATTACCTCCTTTGATTCGTATTCTGCATGTTAGCACTGGAATCCAATCCTCATTTTACATTTTCCAATGGGAGTATTAATCTTGTGGAAGGTTTTCCACAAGATCAATATTCCTATGAGTGAAAAAAAAATGGCTGCAAGGCAAGGCTTGTTCTCTCCAACAGCCAAGGCAGAAGTGGCCATGGAGGCACAAAACTTTGCCATGGCAGTGTGGGAGGGGTGGTCCCGTAGCAGGGTAGCTGAAGCCCTGCAAGTCACCAATCTACATCAGGCTCCTCTATGCCACACAGACTGCTTACATGGGAAGCTTTTGCAGAGGTGGTGGTCCTACCAGAAGATTGGCGAGGATGAAATGGACAGTGGTACATCCCTCTTTCCTTTAGGTACATAAAATTCTATATTTCCATATAATAGGTACATAGTGAAATATACTGAAATATTTAGTGCACTACATCAGCTAATCTAAAACATCTATTCTTTTTACTATCTTGTCTCATCCTTGGCATGAAACACCTGGGTATGGTGGTATGACCCTCTCTATCTTTGGCTAGAACCAATTGGTATAAACAAGACATTCCTTGTCCTTGGCATGGCCTTGTTCTTGGCATTGGTAAATGAAATCTGTCAAGAATAAGATAAACCTCCTTGTTCTTACCAAGGGCAGGTAGGCATGTTAATAGGATACACCTATCCTCCCTGTGCTTGGTGCAGATTAATAGACATGCACAGACATTTGTTTATTGTCTATGATCTATATAAACCAGACAGAAGCTCCTCCAGTGTAAAACCTCAGTGCAAACTTAACCTGAGAAGTGCTGCATGCTTGTCAGCTTGGAGAAGGGGTCCTCCCGCCATTCCACCTGCCATTCCATATTATAATCTTTGTAAGCTGTATTCTATTTTTTCTCCTTGTTTCTCATATTGCCTTGGAATAAAACCTTGATTAGTCATTTGAGTGTGCTTCTTGCCTCTGAATCCAAAAGTACCTTAGCCCAAGCAGGACAGCTTTAATACATTTTCCAATGGAAAACACTAGTTTCTTTTGGTCTTTGGATTAAAAGACCAAAGATGGAAGATTCCCAGACCAAGGGGGCCCAAAGATCCATAGCTACTCAGTCTGGTCAGGATTGAACCTAAGTCTATTCCTCTCCATCCAGACCTACACAACTTCCACAGACTGGGACTGAAGCTTGACAGCATTACTTGCTTGTCCTGGAATTTAAATGCATATTTGGCATATGTGTACAGTGTACTGATGATGTGTGACCCTGAACTGACAGATGACTTCACAGAGCAGTTCCATGTAGATGTTAAACAAAAGGGGTGAGAGCATCAAGACATGTGGCATCCCGCGGGGGGGGGGGGCATGAACACAATCTCCCCTCCCATTAACACTGACTGAAACCAACCACAAAGAAAGGAAAACCACCGCAAAACAGTGTCCCCCACTCCCAAGCCTTGCAGCCAGTCTAGAAGGATATCATGATCAACTGTATTGAAAACTGCTGAGAAATCAAGGAACAGAAGGATGAATGCACTACCCCCATCTCACCTTGCCACAGGTCATCAACAAGCATGACTAATGCTGTCTCTGAACTGTAACCTGCCTGAAACCCAACTGAAATGAGTCCATACAATTTGTCTCCTCCTAGATCCTCTGGAGCTGAAGCCCAACAACCATCTCTAAAAAGAGAAGATTGGAGACTGGACAAAAATTGTCCAGGGTTTTGAGGTACAGTATGGCTTCTTGAGAAGGGGGCATATCACAGGAAGACCCTCTCCCTCATAGAAGCAGGTATCACTGCATGGACCCAACTGCAGGTCACCTCCTGGGCAGCTTGACCAACCAGGAAAAACATGGATCTAACTAACAGGTGGCTGAGCTCAGAGTTCAGGGCACCCGGATCACTTCCTCAGCAATCACAGCCACAAACAGATTCCAGAAAATCCTATAGGACTCCATCTCAGGCACTTCCACTGGACTTGTCCAACTGGAGTCCAACTCTGAGTAAATCTGAATGATTTTTATCTGCCAGATAGCAAGAATAGTCCTCACAACAGCATATGGGCTTTTATTCATGTTCAGTCAGACTTGCTCTTAATCTTCCACCAGAAGTGCTCCACACATCTCTTCTGGCGCTTCATCTCCTGCAGCTCCTTGGAGAACCAAGGTGCACTGCAGGATTGGCACACAGGGAGAGACTGTATAAGAGCCATCCAATTCAGGACCTCAGTCGCCTGCCTATTCCAGCCAAACTGCAACTAGATCCCCAGGGAAAATCCCAAAGTCCCTCTGGAACCCATCCAGGTCCCAGAGATTGTGAAGAAATACTTCCTTTTGTCTATAATTGGAAGACTCCACTTAATTTTACAAAGAGTTTCTGGCAGTTTCATTTCCTACATAACCCCCAGAAGATAATGTTTTAAGTTGCTGGGCAACCAGACAAGACTTCAGCAGCATATTAGAATTTTAAAAGAAATAATTTTTTCAAAAGTGTGAAATGACCAGCTGGTCACCTCCTGGGTGGAAGCATGCAACGAGACAAGTCTCCAGACAAGCAGCAGACACATTCCCTTGATAATCTAGTGCTCTTTTTGGCTGAGCACATTCAAAGGCAATACCTGATTTGATTGGTTTATATTTATATGAATGATTGCATTTAAAATAATATACAATTTCTGCAAGTGAACTGGTAATTCATTTGCTAACACCAAAGAGGAAGCAAAGCAGGTATCATCAGAAACACCTTATAAAAGCAGTATTGTAGGATAGGCTGATTAGGGAATTGATGCTGGCTAGGCAGTGGCCAGGAGAATGGGACTCTGGGAAATTAGTTTCTTCTAATTTCATAGCAACTGTAGATCAGTTGGCTCATTTTTAATACTTTTGTACCACACAGCTGACAGTTTCTCTCTTACTAAATATACAAATGTATGTGTACGGGTCTGGGTCAGATATGTACCTGTAAAACTGAGTGTCTTTATTATTTTAATTCTTTTGTTTTAATGTATTACATTTTGAATTGCAGGCTGCCCAGGGTCTGTCTGTCTGTATTTATTTATCATATTTACATGGCCTTCTACCTCACAAAATGTGACTCTGGGTAGTGTACAATCAAGCCATTAAAACAATTTAAAAAAACATTCAACAAATATAAAAATTACAATTATTATTAAAAGGCTAGGAGAGAGCATCATATATCACAAACAATGGAGCCACCTCATCAGATCACCATTCCCTTGTGACCCCCAGGTCTGCTGACACAACCAGGTTTTGAGGGACTTCCAGAAGGTCAGCAGAGATGCAGCCAGTCTCACCTCAGGGGAGCTGATGTTCCACAGGATGGGTGCCACGGCAGAAAAGGCCCATCTCCTGGGTTCTGCCAGATGTAACTCTTTGGCAGATGGGACCAGCAACACACCTCTTCTGCCAGACCCGATCGGATGGGCGGATATAATCGGGTGGCCCTTCAAACAACCCAGCCCCATGCCATGAAGGGCTTTAAAGGTCAAAAACAGCACCATGATTTGGACCCTGAAGCAGACTGGCAGCCAGTGCAGTTGTAATATGTGCCACACTAGGGGTACACATAACTGCCTGCACCACTGCATTCGGTACCAGCTGAAGCTTCCAGATACTCTTCAAGGGCAGCCCCATGTAGAGCACATTGCAGTAGTCCACCCAGGAGGTGACCAGGGCATGAGTGACTGTAAGCAGAGCCCCTCAGTCCAGGAATGGGCACAACTGACACAGAACATGAAGCTGTGCAAAAGCCCTCCTAGCCATGAGTGCCACCTACTCTTTGAGCAAGAGTTGCAAGTCTAGGACGACTTTCACATTATGTACTGGGTCTGTCTGGCGTAGTGCAGCCGCATCCAGTACTAAAGATGGCATAGTGCCAGAACCAGCAGGATTCAGTTGAAGCCTGTTGTTCCCTATCCAGATCCCCACAGCCTCCAGGCACTGGGATAAGACATCAACAGCATTCCTTAATTCGCCAGGGGCAGAGATGTATAGTTGGGTATCATCAGCATCCTGATGATACCTCACCCCATGGCAACAGATCACCTCACCCAGCGGCTTCATGTAGATGTTGACTAGGAGCAGAGAGAGCACCGAATCCTGTGGCATCCCACATAGTAGGGGCAGAGGGCAGGATCTCTCCCCCCTGCTGCAATCACCACTGACTGGTATCAACCCAGAGAAAGGAAGAAAACCAGCACCGTCCACCCTCAATCCCCAGAGCCGGTCCAGAAGGATACCGTGGTCAGTGGTATTGAAAGCTGCTGAGAGGTCAAGCAGAGCAAGGATGCATGCATCACCCCCATCCCGCTCTTGCCAGAGATCATCTAAAAGCACGGGGTGTTTCTGCCCCATACCCAGACCTGAATTCTGACTGAAAGGATTGAGGTGGCTTATAAACATTATTAAACAAACAAACAGATATTTATGCCACCTTAAATGTATTAGTTTTGATATCGTAAGACAGCTGCTTATTTTTTTTTTAGCTGTTTTTAATATGACCAGTTGCCTGGAAAATATTAGACTATTTAGAATTTTGAGTTCTGTATTGGCAATACTTACAAGGTAGTATGTTGGGATATCTGTTTTTTTCTCTGTTTTCCTCTTTATTTGCCATCTCAAGTGTTCCTTGCATATATCCAGGTGGTAATGACTACAGAAAATATAAATTGTCTGATTTAAAAATAGCATCCAATAATAAATAAACAGAGCTGATGGTTAAAATATATGTTTATACTTTATGAAATTTTATATTATCTATACCAGAATATTAAATGTCATACATTCATCCTAAAATTCATCTCAAAATTTATTGAATGCACCAAATTCTGTTCTTCAGCCAGATAGGCTTTTATTTTTTCATAAACTGTTCTTGTGTGAATATAAACCTCTTATCTGAACATGACTTATGTATTATAGGATATCATAAATCTACCATGAATAAGAGCTGACTCTTTTTGCTTAAAATTCTTAAAACTCTGTTGCTTACGTTTAAGTAAGTATTCATTTCAGTAAATATACATTTATTAACCTTGGGATATATGCAGTACTAGTGGCATACCAAATGTGGTGATGACTGATTCACATTTTGGCTAAAACGGGATAGGTTGAAAAACTTTGGGCACTGAAAGCAACGTTAACTTTTTTTTTTTTAAATATAGTGAAAGAATTTGCCATTAGAAGCTAACAGATAAATGCTTCTGAAAGAAAACAGAATTAACAGCAATAAATATAGAATTTCAATTTTTTAACAGCATGTGCTGAAAATAAGAAATTACAAATGCACAAGAGAATGAGCCAATCACATCTACGTGACTTTATGATAAAGTGGAAATTAGTGATGCTGTGCAAAGCTTTGGTTTTGCAACAGTGCACTTTAATGGCATCTGCACAGGGGTCAAAAAGCCAAGATGGCAGTCGCAACCATACAACTGAAGCCTTGTGCCTTTGCACATGTGTGCGATGTTGATGCAGATGCAAAAAAGGCAGGGCTTCAATTATGCAATCACCATCTTTAATTTTATGACACACACACCCATGTATATAAATGGATATTGCAAACAGTGCTGAATATAAACTTAAAGATGGCTGCCTAGCCTTATCTTGAACACATCTAGTGAAGGGAGCCCATCATTTGTGGGTAGTGGGCTCCATTTTCAGACCATTTTTCAAAGGACTTGGCTTCTTGTTCCCTGATAATCCTCTCTGGCCTTCTCTGTACCTGTTCCTGTTTTTTGAAATATTAAAGGTATGATGCCCAGAACGGGACAGAACCCTTGAGAAACCTGATCTATGCAGTATAAGGTGGAATGATATAATTCCCAATTTACATAATATCCACCAAGGGCCTTTTTCCACTACTGAGTTAAAGAGCTACACATGATTCTTGCAGGCTGTCTCCACTGCACTCTTTGTCCTGCCTTTAGGAAGGTAGTTCCAAATCATTTCTGAATGGTGTTGTCCTGAGTGAATCCAATCCAGACTTCATAGACAAGGGAGTTGGCTTTATCTTCCGCTTTTCAGCAAGTCACCAGGCAACAGGGAAACATCAGTCAACCATAACACTGCAGCCGGAATGAGGAAGGTCTGATTTCTAAACTCTATCTGGTCTTCTTTAAAATATTATTTGTCTGCTTCTCACCACAGATCCCCTTTGAAAATTAGTTCAGTTCATATTCAGAAATTAGTATGAATTCAAAATTAATTCAATTAACTCAAAATCATATAGGAAGATACCAAAGCAGAAAGATCCCTAGAGAGAAGGGTGTCAGACACTCCCAAGATTATGCATCTGGTTAGGTCTTATAAGGTCTCCCAGTTCAGTGGGAGAACTGAAACTGACTACAGATAGCTGCAAGACTGAAACTAATAAACAACAAAAGCAATTCTGCTGGAAAATCATTGTGTATAATTTCAAATTTAATTTGCACCCAGCATACTCCTAGTCAATCCCTATATCCAGATCTGAGCAAACACACATGCCACTAGGATGACTAGGAAGAGATAAAGATAGAACTGCATAGTTTCTTTTTCTTCATCAGATACAAGAATGGAGCTCTGCTGTCTTTCTGTGGAAGCCTGGAGAGAAATTGGTATAAAAAAAACAGGAGGAGGTGTGGATGGTTAGGAAAGGAGTTAAAAAAGAAAGTGCTAATGAAGGCAGCAAATGCTGGGAGAGAAAATAGCTGTATCTGAAGCTGGACAGTAGCCACAGGGGAATTAGCATGCCCATCCCTTCCCAAATGCAATTCAGATGACACCCACAATAAATCAGCTGACCTTACCTCTAAGATAATGGGTAACAAAGGGTTACACAGTTTGCACACCTTGAAGCTGTGCTAAGAGAGTGTTAGCTTTAAAGCTGAGACATCTAATTATAAATTACAGCTGTTTCACTCAGCTAGGGCAGAGGATAAACTGCAGGTGAGAAGTAGGTTCCATAAATACTTCTTAGTTGTTTAATGGAACAAAATATACTCCATAACCACATACAGTATTATTATGTTTATTCTCACAGGTGAGATAATACCTTTTGAATTACATAGGTTGAAGTTGGGGCAGAATTTGTCATAAATGTTTTATTTCTACAACTGATTTAGAAAGAACTTGTTATTTGGATTGGGACTTAAGTTAACCTACTTTAACCCTTTGGCATTACTGCTAACCTGATTGAAAACTCCCTCTATTGATCACATGCTATTTGCAGTATGAAGGAAGATCAGCCTTTTTCTCTTACTGGAAAGAGCAAAACTGGGTGTATATGGATGTTTGAAAACCCTAATAAAATAGTAAGGGGAATAAAGGTTATAACTTACACATATAGATCATGGTCTTAATTGTGGTTTAAATCAGGTGTGCATTGTGAAGACTTTTCTTTGAAAACCAGTGTAAACTAGACTGAAGAATCAGTGTTTACCAGCTAATAAGGAGGTCTCTTGTGTAGGTTATATTCTGTTGTCACAACATAAATGTGTTGCATTTGTTGTTTCAATATGCATGCTTGCTTTGGCTTTGCAAGTTTTTTTTCTTTAAACCAAAACCAAAAAATCACCTCTCTCTCTTGTACACATACATACACAACAAGAACATAAAATAAGTAGCTGAAAACTGACCATGAATAACTATAAACTAAACTTACTACATCTTATTTTAATAAGCTGTCTTTCCTTAATTTCACTTCAATATATTTGACAAATATATGAAAGCTTTTTAAAAAGTTACTCTGCTCTTTGAACACATCTTTTTGCATAATCAGACAAATTGTGTAAAACTGGAAAACTGAACTTCCCTTTGTGAGGCTATGTGAGGCAAGGGAGGTTTTTTAGATTTGTTTCTATTTCAGTATTTCTCCAGAAAGCTGCTTGAGAAAGGAACACAGAGCAAGCACAAAATCAACTCTCACACTGAACATTTTAAGCATGCCATTATTGTTGCAGATTTGTATTGTCGTTTTTTCCTACAACTTTCCTTTAACCCCACAACTCAACGTACCCACATTAATTCAGACTTGAAAAGGCAAATTTTAAACACATAATCATAATATAAATTGCTGAAATACAGTCCTGCCAATTACAAAGCTACACGCTAAAGGACATTATTTCATGCCTGACAGTTTAACTGGCAACCTTGATTTCACTTAGATAAACTTAAAATTAAAACTAATGTAAACATGTGATCATCATAGCTACACTGCACAACTGCTGAAACAAACCAGAATTGAAAGTAAGTTGTTTTATGCAACTAACCTTCAGCAGCCAGAGAGAGATTATCTATCAGCTATCTGCCAGCCCCCCCAAACCCACCTTATGTATGCAACCACAATGCAGCAGGAAGCAAAAATAAATAAATTCTCAGCTCTGGCTGAACTGAGACACTATATTTAGAAAGCTTTAAATCAGCCTTTCTTAACTTGGTGCCCTTCAGATTTTTTGGGCTTCAACTTCCAGTATTTCCAGCCACCATGAGACGGAGATTGATATGGGATAGCTCTATTATAATTATCTCTTTTCTCCATTAGGTGTCTTTAAAAAGTACTTATTAATCCAATGTTTTTCCTTGTAAAAAGTCACTCGGGTAGAAGTAGAGAGCCTACTGCCTTCCAGATGTTTTGGATTACAACTCCTACAATTGCTTACTATTAGCCTTACTGGCTAGGTAAAAGGTACACACCAAATATTCTGCCACTGCATTAAAAACTGAATGGCTTTTAAAAGGCAGAGATTATAATTCTGGAAATAAGCAGGATCTGTAAGTATGAAAATAGCAACATGTAGGACAGAATGACTAGCAAACATCTGTGTTTTATTGAAATACACCACAATAGCTAGATTTAAAACATGGCTTAGAAACCACAATGTTTGAGTTAAACAACATTAAGCAAGAAGCAGTGATATTATGTTATTATTTCAGTGTGATGTGTGAATCTTTTCTTTGTCACTTGGTTCTCAGCTCATACAGTACTTCTAAACTATATGAACATCACTATCTTTAGAATTTCTAGAGAACAAAATACCCAAACTACTTAATTGTTTATGAGGTAGCAAGGTGGCTCTCTGTGCAGCATTACAGGTAGTGGAAGTGCCTTTCAAATGTTTTGGAATATAATTCTCACTAATTCCCAAGGGTAATAGTTAAGGATCTTAAAAGTTGTAACAGTTGCTGGGAGTTGGGCATCATATGAATTATGAATAATAATAATAATCTAAAACATCTGGAAACCTAAAATAAAATAACAAAATAAGACAACTTACATTAAATTCTTCCCGGAACAACTTCCCATCATCAGCTGCTCTTATCCGGATTTCCTCTTCCAAGAGCTCTACTGGAATAGGAAAATACTTCTTTGGGCCAGAGGGAGACTGTCTGAGAAGCATCACCCTTTGCTGTTCTGTCAAAAGGAGATGCAAGCACAGTATATGTACAGACAAAAAGCAATGTATATTTTCTATCCATTACACACTTGAAACAAAGGCTTAAAATTAAGACCATATTTCTACAGCTAACTTAAAAGCAAACCCATTACTAGCTTTACAGTATTTATAGATAGTTTTGTAATTACAGCTGCATTATATAGGAATCGTGTGTGTGTGTGTGTGTGTGTGTGTGTGTGTTTCAGGGGGTGTTTTCCTTTACTTTTTTAAAGAGAGAGAGTGCCAGTGTGATATAGAGCTTAAGGTGCTGAACTAGAAGTGGAGAGACCCAGATTATAATCCTCCTTCAGGCATGCATGCCAGGTAGGTATATTTGGGTCAATCACTTTCTCTTAGCCCTAGACTGAGAAGTTGAAAAACATCTATACATCAACTCACACTGAACTAGCATAGTAGATTACAGTCCATCATCTTCAATGAAGAGGTCTTTATCCTGCAGTGGATTGATTTGGACCGATAGACATACACACTTATACTGAGAATTATTAGGTATACAAATACAGGCGACTCTGGGCAGCATACAACAATTGAATAAAACAGCAAATAGATAAAAACAATCATTATAATAGGATAAAAAGTAATTATTAAAATAAAAATATCAAACATTTTGAAATGTACAAACCCCACTGAGACATCAGAATATCAATCATAGTGGAGCCATCTAAGAATGTCTCTGGTTTCCAAAGACCCCCAGGCCTGATGTCATAACCAGGTCACATGGGCAGAGGTTACAGATAACCTGGCCGCACACCATGAAAGGCTTTAAAGGTCAAAAACAGCACCTTGATTTGAACCCGGAAGCAGACTAGCAGCCAATGCAGTTTTCGAAGCAGAGGTGAAATGTATGCTCTTCAAGGAGCACACATAACTGCCTGTGCCACCACATTCTGTACCAGTTGAAGCTTCCGGATACTCTTCATGGCAGCCCCAATTACTGGATTACAGTAGTCCAATCTGGAGGTGACTAGGGCATGAGTGACTATGAGCAGAGCCTCCCAATCCAGGAAGGGGCGCAACTGGTACACAACACAAAGCTGTGCAAAGGCCCTCCTAAGCACGACTGCCACCTGTTCTTTGAGCAGGAGTTGTGAGTCTAGGAGAACCCCCAAATTGAGCACTGGGTTTTTCTGGGGCAGTACCACCCCATCCAGCACCAATTTATACAGAAACTAACCCAAATTTCCTTTGACCTTCCTCCATCATATGTTAATTCATATGTTTTCACATTTGTTTGTCATGTTCCAACACAATTTTGGTACACTTCCTTATTTAAAATAATTATGCACACTGTTCAAAATTGACTCCAGACACATTTACAGGTAAAATTAGTTCTATATCTAACACACATATATATATGGAGTTCTTGAAAGTATAACTTAATTAAATGCAAGTTTTTTTTAAAAAAAACTATTCATCCTACCTTCTTTGCTTAATCAAATTGTACTATGAATACAAACATATTATGTATACAAAGCTGTTCTAAAGAGTAATCGTTGTCAAATTACATCAACTGTAATACCTATTTGCTTCCTCTTTCAGCATTATATTATAAAAATAAGTAAAGCTTTATATAAAATTAAAGAAATAATTACCTTGCTCTTCTAAGATTCCATTTGGCATTTTTTTATCAGTGGAATTTACAACAGCTTTTCTGTGTCTTCGGAACCTTAATAAACATAAGAAGCATTTAGAAGACCACAGCATAGGTCTCATGAGACCAGATAAATTACAATAAAAAATACTCTTCATTATAGCTCACAAACCATGTAATTCTGGAGAAGCTTCTTCTAATCATTTTTTCAGTTGTAAACGTTATAGTTGGTGCACAGAAATGGTTTGTAACATCCTCCACTACACTGACTAATGTGGGAAATTACAGACAGCACAGCTGTAGCTATACAAACTTTCATTTCCTTATGAGATCACATGGTAACAAGAAACAACTAGTTCCACATCAAGAGTCTGATTCATACATACCTGAAGAAATAGCCAGCTAAAATAATTAAAATTATGAACACTAAAATCAGGATCAGCATTGAAGTCAGCAAATGCGATGGCTGACCATTTTCTCCTGGAGGACCTAAGAATTAAAAACAAACATTAGCTGGTGCTAAATCACCAACTGATAGGAAACAGAGAACTAGTGGAGAAGAAGTACACAAATTATGCATAGCATTTTGTAAGCGAGTAATATTCTTCTGTCACTACCAGATATAAAGGAAATTTAATATGGTGAAGATTATTTTAAATATTTTAATTTAAAGAAACAAGTTAAAGGACTGAAATATTTTGGAGCTTTTACATTAGAACTTAGTGTATTGTATACGCAATCACAGATGTCCCTCTATATTGGAACACTTTTATTGGAACACGTAAAATCTGAACAACCTAATGTAATACCTGTTTTCATTTCTTGCAGGCCAAACACCAAAACTGTAGCAGAGGAAATTTGAAAAACCAGATTGCAGAAGAGAACACAACAATAATTCCCTATGACCTCTTTTTGAATAAATGAAATAAAGACCAATATATATTCAGCCAAGTTCCCATAAAATGTCAATTTTATTAAGATTATTAATAAACTGTTAACCTCGAGCCTCAAATTGTTTTAAAAAGTTAAACAGGAATTAATATTTATCTTTCTAGCTTCATATTTGAAAATGGTATATTTATCTTCTTTTCTACAAAGGATAGGAAAAGTAGATATGTAGTAGTATAGTATAACATTGAAACAGTTCAAAATTGTGAGTGATCCCACATGATATTAATAGCAACTCAAGAAGAAGAAAGAAAAGATGAGCTATGGCAAAAGGTATATAAAAACAGTATACACTAATAACACATATCTGTCACAATAATAACACATCTGTTTTCACAATACAGTAATACTCAGAACACAGGTTAATGTCAAAGCATTTCAGGATTTTAACCCAACCAAAATATTTAAGTACAGAAGAAAGTGACTTGCTTCTGCCTGTATGTATCTTTATCCTTAGCAAGCCCTCAAATAATACTACTTAGAGGTGTTCAACTTAAATTTGCAGTTGGAAAAAAAGTTTTAGTGCATTGCCAAATTTCTCCTGAGCATGCTGATAGTACCTCCCTTACTCCTCCAAGATCTTATTTTGGCTGTAACCCTGTCAGTAATCACTAAGTTCGCATTTGGGGTGGGGGTGGGGGAATAAACCTTTCTTGAATAATGTCTACTGAGGTGAATTTCTTTACTCGGTGATTTTCCTCATTATATCAAAAAGAAATGTGTGAAAATGAGTTGATATTATTTGATAAGGATTTTAAATCCAAAAAACATTTTGCTCAATGAGCATGAAGAGATAAAATATATTTGACCATTTTTTGAATGGCATTGAAGAAAAAAAATAAACATGATTGTAGAGGAAATAGGGACTTTGCAAGACTTATAATTCAATCTCTCAGACACAATGCTTACATCACTGAAAATCTGCTAAGCGTACATTTTAAAAAGATGTATTATCTGACAATTATATGCAGACTTTGCATCCACATTCTAGTTACAGTATGAAGCTGGAAAACCCTTTTTGTTCTAAGCATTGCTTTCCTACAAAGGTTCAAAGAAACATAAGTTGACTTATATAAAGGTTATACTGTTTCTCTTACTAGCCCCTATTTTGACAAAGAATGTCATAGTTTTCATTATCTACAAATGACTGCTATCTTTTTCTTTCTAATTAACTTACCATTTTGGAAATATCCTAAACATTCTAGTGTATTATACTAGTGTTTTTACTTGATTGATTTTCTTCCTGTAAATATTTTTATTTACCTTTCAAATGCAGTAAGGCAAATAATAATTTCATTTAGCATTGTCTATTCTGACTGGTAGCAATACCAGGATCTTGAGGCAAAATTCTCCACATTATCTACTATTTAATCTTTTAAACTAGTAGAGTCAGGATCTGGTAATGGGGATGTTCTGCTTTTGCAAAGCATCTTTCCTTCTATGGCATTATTTTTATTTTTCTCTACAAAAGTAGCATTAGGCTCACTGATCTGTCATTGTAGCACTTATTAATATACAATCTTTGCAAAATTAATATGCAAATTAAATGCAGTTATTTCAGAAACAGAAGCCACAATGAAAATATAATTGCACATAACAAGAGAAGCATAAAGTAATAGAGAAGAGAAAGAACATAAATATGATTAAGATTTCCTTCAAATAATTTAATAAGTAGAACAGTGTCACTCTATGTAAGTGTTTAAAATATATTTAAA